GGCTCTCAAAAAATATTTATTGAACGAGAGAATGGATAGATGGATGCATGCATGGATGGATGGATGCATGGATGGATGGATGGATGCATGGATGGATGGATGGATGGATGGAATTTGCTCTCTTTCAAATTTTATTTGAGTTCCTACTTCCTCTGTGAAGCCCGCTCAGATCTAAATCTACTTTCCCAGATTTCTCCATTCTCTGCTTTCCCTATTCATTGGTGATACAATTCAGTTCTCAGCAGTTTCATATATCTTAGCTTTCTGTCCCTAACCAGATTGTACATTCTGCAGGATCCATGTGAGATGAAATTCAGTTCCCAGCACTGCACTGGGAGTTGTATTTCTAACCGTGCAACTTGGTAGAGTCACCAACTTTTCTAAAGTTGTCTCCACATCTTTAGACACAGAGATGATCTCTTGCCAGCCCACTTCACAAGGTTGTTATGACAATCAAATGAGATATTGTATGTGACTAAGCACTGGAAATTGTAACCTTTTCTGAAAATAAGAGGTATTAGTATTATAGTAGGTTCAATGACTGTTGACTGAATAAAGAAGCGAGAACCAACATTTAGTGAAAATCTGCCAAGTTCCAGGCAGAGGTTAATTCTCATAGCACCATTGTAGTTAAACACAATGTTGTTTTTGACTGTCCAGTGGACATTTGGCTTTTTTTATATCAGCACCCCAACTTTCCTTCGGGGGAAATCGTGCCACTCTCAATCACGTACTTTGAGTGGACTCCCTACAAGGATATAAGCTCCATTCCAGCTCCAAGGGAGGGCAAGTGGTCTACGCCTCAGGCAGGCTACATATCCCATCCCTCTGATCACAGTGAATAGTTCAAGAGTGTGTATGCAATCCAATCCAGACCCTCAGATGTCTGATGGGACTTGACTTTAGGGTTGAGAGTAGCTCGTTTGTCTGGTCTTAGGACTATGACAGTATAAGGTGGGAGCTTCAGGAGACTTCCCTGAGGAGTTATTCCCTCTGAGAATAAAGCCAATAAAGAAGAAAACAGAACTTTAAAGGGAAGCCTAGTCCAGGTACAACCTTTATATCCTGGATGCAGCCATGCCTGAAGTCATCCACTTATACAAATCAATAAATTCTTTTCCTCTCCCACTCCACCCCAAAGAAGTTTGGGTGGGATTTTATGTCACTTGCACCCAAAAAGTTCTAATTAAGACAATAGAGGAGTATTTCAGTTGAGACTAAGGCAGTTTAAAAAGAAGATCCATGAGGGAGTACATCTACAGTTAACTGAGGAATATGAAGGAAGAATAAACAGCCTGAAACAGCCTGGACCCACTCCCTAGTAAATCCCAGAGGTTCCCACTGGGATAATTATTTCAATGAATACTTATTGAGTACCTACTGTATGCCTGGTGTACTCCAGGTACCGAGAATACAGCAGCGAACAAAAAAAAAGGACAAAAATCCCTGCCCTCTTGGACCTCACACTCTAGTATGTGGGTAAGAACAAATTTAAAAAGTAATTAAATATTACTTTGGAGAAAAATAAAGCAAAGAGGGGGAATAGGGAATGCCAGATTGCTTTTGAAACTTATCACGATGAACCAGTGAAGGAGGTTTATTCACCCCAAATTCAACGCAAACAGATTAAATGACTCACACAAGATCATCAACTAGTAAGTGGCAGAATCAGAATTGGAAAATGGGAAAAAAGTTACAGGACATTCGATCTCTCTCCCAGGTCAGACTGCCTATCAGCCCAGGAGTCTTTTAACGGAGAAAGGCACTCATCTTTCTCTGGGCTTCATTACTTTTATTGACCTCGTGGCAGCTTTTGACATTACTAATCATCCCTTCCTTCTGCAAACTTTTCTCTTGACTTTAGCAACACTATGCTGTTCTAGTTGTTTCCCTTCCCAATTAGTTCTGCCCCTTTTGAAACTTTTCTTATTCCTCTCACTACTTGAATATGAGTCACCAAATACAATCCATCTTATGGAGTCAACATGCTGAACTGCCGCGTCCTCTTTCTACCCTACTGCGTGACAAGGTCCGGAGATGGGGACAGAGGCTTCAAGGAATGCATCGTCAAGAATGAGGACGTGGCATGTGTTTAGGGCTAATTGGTTTCTTAGGAACGATCCTATTCATAGGGGGAATTTGGGTAGCACAAATTCTAGTAAGTGTAAACGCTGTACAAATGGATTTCCTCAAAATTGGCTCTGAGGAAAACATAGTAAATTCCCCGCGTATGGAATCAATTCTAGTCACCCTGACGTGTCCAGAATGCGTAAACCCTTTATTTGAACAATTATTAAGAGGAATTCCTTTTGACGTGCCTCTTAAAGATGTTTGAATAAATTATAACAAGCCGAATTACTAGAACCAGTTTAAATTCCTGTTCCCATGCAGTTAGTAGAAAAATTAGTAAAGGATAAGAAATTTACTCATAAGCCTGTGCCTACTATGGAAGGGCCTCCTTTTATGGCCTACTGGATAAATGGAAAACTCTGGTATCCACCTAGTGGGGCTAATAGTATGAAAAGATTACCTGATCTTCCTTTGCCTTATACAGGAGCTTATAATAAAGATAGTATACATATAGTGAATAAAGATGGAATTCATGTGCCTTATAGTAGTTTAAGTTTCATAGAAAGGCTGGCTAGGTCAGGACCTCCTTAGTGCTTAAAAAACAAAGGAACAGAAACTTAGCTTATGAAAGCAGCTTTGTAAAACTGATTTTTATAAATATTTTCCTCATTACTGCACCAAGGAAACTTTTGAACAGCTATGAGAAAGGTTCAGCTTGAACTTTAGATATAGCATAAATCAAATAGCATTTAAAAGATTTCTTCAGGCAGAAAGAAGAACAATGTCTGCCCACAAGCCAATGCTTGCTGTTATGAATACATCTATCTATCACCTTTACTTAAATCAAACTGTATCTTATGTAATAGATATAAGAATTAAAAGTTTAGATTGTTCCATCAGGTAGTTCTGTTCTAATGATCGAGAGAAAAATGTACTAGTTAATCATGAACATTAATAATAATATACTCTATAAGATTTTCTGCTTCGCCTAACCGAAATTTAACTCCCTGCTACCTTAACTACAAAGTATAATCAAATGCCAAAATAAAAAGTATAAAAGTTGTACTCAAATCACAATAAAACGGAACAGTATCACACCGCTTCTGAGTTGTGTAGTCGACTGTCTCCCGCGCCGACGCCTTGCCCACCTTCGGGGCCCCCTAAATCCTGTCGTGGCTGGACCGCGGCACTGAACTATATCAGGGAACACCATTCATTCATGTCATAGGCTTTGCGATGACATTCTTTGGAGTAGAGCAGTGCACAGCCCAGGCAGCAGTATATAGCAACTCTATACCTTTTGCACTTCTCCTATCTATGCTACTGACTGTAGTTCCTTTTCCTCTGCAGATTTTACCCCAAACTTTATGGGCAGCTTCTGCCCTGAACCATTGGATAATATGGTGGAGCATCCTGCATGCCTCAACCACTCGCTCTTGCAAGAGGCTCTGTACCTCTCAGTGCCCACAGGCATCAGTGGGGCAGAAATAGTGAATATTTTGTTGGCAACACCAAAGCACAAATTCATGCATAAAGAGTCCCCTTGCTAAATGGTCTCTTTGGTTAGACATCAGACATTGTTGTTTAGATATCGATTGTATTGATGTCTAAAGACTTCTGGATTTAGTTAGACGTAACTTGTAAGTTTCTTGTAATTCTAAATGCTACTGGGTAGGAATATTACATAACTCAATCCTCACAACAAGAACGAAATAGACATTGCCATACTAATCTGTCCAAAATTCAAAGAGGTCCTGTGTTTCGCCTAACTAAAGTCAAACTGTTATTAACTGGTAGAGGTGGAATTTGAACCAAGTTTATTGAACTTCAAAGACTATGCTCTGTAAACTGCCTCCCAATATTACCTAACACTGTGCTGAGTACAGGACAATATTAATTAAAACTAACTTTGGTATTTCTATATACAGTTTTAAAAACATCTACCCTGTGCACAATTTCACTTAATGCTCAATACCCTGAGAGGTGTTAGTGTTATTTTTAGACTTATATACAAAAACTGAAAACAAGAGAAAATGACTTCTGAATCACCTGGTTACAAAAGAAAGCCAAGATCCAAATGCAAGTCTTCTAGGTACTTCATTCTCGGTGCCATGCTGTCTCACTAAGTGTTGTTTGATATAGAACATCTGTGTTCGGTGCGAAGGGATAAGGACAGTGCTTTTTTTCTTTTCGCCTTCATAGACTGTAGCCTGATAGGCACTGAAGTGTTTGTTCATTCATGAGCACCTAGTATGTGCCAGGCACAGTATATACCATGAAAAAAGGCTGTCCTGCTTTCTGAACTCAAGGGTGCTTACATTCTACCGGAGGAGACAGATAAATTTCAATGATATGTGCTACAGGACGATGTGGTAGGAAATGAGGGAGAGGTAAATTTAGATACAGATCAGAGAAGGCATTTCTGAGACTGAATTGAATGAATGCACCAATAGCAACCGGCTGATGGATTGATTCATTATTCTATATCAGACTTATCCAGTTTTTGTTAGCCATTAGATTGTTTATGGTTCTGACGGTAAGTACTCTTTGGACTTTATATTGCTCATGTGCAGACGCAATGACGAAGCATAACGAAGAATCCTTTCAATTCTTTGTATTCTCCTGACCTTGCCTTAGCCGTCAGGGTCACATCCCCCCATCGCCACGCCCATTCTCCTCCTTCCGGGCGCTTCGGCCTGCGCAAGCGCAAGAGAAACTGCCGTTCCTACAGGAGGGCGCAGATGCCTACGAAACGCATGCGCCCCCGCACCGTAGGCCCCGCCCCGCCCCCTGAGCAGGCTCGCGAGCGCCTGCCG